CGCCAACAGCTATTTTGGCTGTTATGAGGCGGCGTTCAAAGCTGGCCTCCGCTTCCCCCTTCACCAGGCGGTGAAGGCAATTTTAAGAGGCTACGGCCTTGGGGTCTGGCAACTTACCCCCAACTCCTGGACCAATATTCTGGGGTTCGTTGCCGCTTGCGAGTTCCAGGGGCTTAACCCCGGCTGGGAGGCTTTTGCAAGCATGCACTATCGTAGCAAAAGCCCAGGTGGCTGGAGGGTGTGGTACACTCTAACCACGCAGCCGCAATATATGATGACCTTGGACAAGGTCTCAAAGTTCGATGGCTGGAAGCACAGGTTCTACCTGATGTTAGCCCCAACCAGACGGGAAAATTATGAATTCCGTCTGTACAATAAGAAGCCCGACTTGTTGGGCAGGAAGTGCGCTCTTCCCTGGATCCCAGAGGAAGATTTTGACAAAATAATTGAGGCAGACTTTTTCGGCCTCACAGACGCAACTCTGTCAACCGGGGAAATAATAAAAGTCCCCAAAAATTGGATCCCCAAGAGCTCCTGGTTCAGGGATGAGTGTTTTCTAGCCTCCTGCGGGCTTGGGCACATGTTTACAAAACGTATGCGCCTGAGTTTATACCGTCTGTAGTATTTTTCTATCGAAATTGATTTATGATATTAACCAATTTCTTTCTTTTTGTAGAAGAAGCTCTAAAAATGCTGCAGTCGGAGAAAACTCCTAAACAGTCTTCTGCAACCATCCGCAAAGATCTTGCGGAGAAAGCTGCGGCTGAGCTCAAGGCCAAGGTAACAAACGCCTGACCCTTTCATACGTTGATCTTTTAAAATCATTTTCCCGGATGCTAACCTTAACTTTGGTCATTTTTTCAGGGAGGAGAGGTTGGAAAGTCGTTTGAGAAGCAACTTAAACGGGCTATGGAGGAGAACCCTGCCGTTCTCAACAAAATAAAAAAACCCACCTCTGCATCAACTCCTGGCGCCTCAACCGGGGCTAAGACGATGCGGATATTGGGGCGACTTGAGAAGGTAGGCGGCAGCGTGTGCCTTGATCTTGTCAACCCTTTATCAGCAGCTGCGGGGTTCACCACGCCTGCAAGCGGTTCCCGCTTGGCCGGCTCTGAAGGTAAGAACCCTTTTGAATCCCCGCTTAAGCTGGGGTGGCCTTTACGGGTGAAATCCCACTCCCAACAGACGTCGTCCTCAGACGGTCGACAACAAATAGGTGCTGCCTTAGTTTCGCACTCATCACGTATTGATTGTGGTGCAGATCAATCTCCCCGCTGGCCAGACGTCCAGAAGCATGCCAAGGCCATGCTGGAAGCCGTCCGGAAGAGGGATAAGGACAATATCCCTGGGATAGAGACGTTCAATCTTGAATGCATTCTATCCCTTCTTGCTGAGATAAGAAACTTGTCAATTCAATTTTATTTTTTCCAAGTGTCTTATCTCGCCTGCCATACTTATGCCGCCTGAGTGTTTGCAGGCCATGCTGCGGGTGGACAGGCTCAAACGCCCTTATTCCCGCAAACGGGAAGAGGTAAAAATGGCCAAGAAGTCCGCCATAGACGCTGATAATATTGCTTTACACTCGACTATCGTAAATGAACTTGAAACTAAAGCAATAATTATGAAACAGGAGTCTAGAATCCAGCAGCTGGAGGCGGATCTGGAGACGGCCAAACAGCAAGCGTTGGATGCTGAGACGGCTAAGAAGGCGGCGGAGGAGGCCCTGAAGAAGGCGGATGAGAGCGCCAAGAAGGCTGTGGAGGCGCTCAAGAAGGCCCAGACGGACCTTGGCACACTTAAAGGTGTTTCCGAAGAGAACACCAAACTGAAGGCCAAGGTTCAAAAGCTGGAGAAGGAGGTTGCTCAGGCTCAGAAGAACTTTGCAGCAACCCTGGAGGCGGAGCAAAACCGCCTTGTTGCTGAGAGTGACGCTGACAATGAAGCCCGTATGAAGATTGCCTGGGCTGCCTTGTACCTAGACGCGGATTATAGCATTTGGGCACTGGCGCACAGCTATGTCGAGTACGTGGTGTACTTGAGAGAACAAGGCGAGCCAGAGCCTGCCTCTTTCGAAGCCTGGGTCAGCTCCAACAATGAGCCGTCCGTGCCTGATCTTCCTGGTCCTGGTGAAGCACAGGAGATACCCTCAGATGGTGAGGAGGGGGACCAAGAGGATCCGTCTGTAGGCCAGAAGTGACCACTCAGCGGCAGTATGCCAATCTTTGCTTTTTATTCTTTTATTCAGCGGCTGTATGCCAAAACTTACTTTTTCCGGCCTGCGTGCCGAGTATCTTTGTGTTTACCGGCTAAGGAGCCGGGTTAATTAACAATTTCTTTCACCCGGGCGGGGTCCGGTTAACATTTGATCCACTACAACCGTTTGGTTGGGTGGACTTTTATGAAATGCACCGAATGAGTCGGTTTTTATCATTTTGCATTTAATTTTTAATTTTTTATTTTTGCCTAACTTATGAAAAGCATGCGGCGATTTTTTGCCTAACTAGTCAATAGTCTGGCTGTCCTTGCCCTTGGACGGCTGTGTGATTGGTTTCAAGTGGAGTTGGTTGATTGACTTGAAAATGTCTGATGTTGTAAAGAGCATGATATGTTTGTAAGTCCATCAATCACAGTAGTGATTGCCCCAAACCAAGTGCACAGCTGTACATCAACAGGCGTTTCCGTCACTACACAGACGGCGTTTGTCCGTCTTGGTAGAGATTTCATAGCCATTGAACAACTCTTTTGCCCCAATTGGGGTAAGAAGATTGCCCCAAACTTCAGCCGGTAACCGACTGATGCCCCATGGCATCCGGTATTCGGCTACTTGATCATTCTTCACAGGTCATTTTGGTCAGACGGCTATGAGTTGACCAATTAGGTCGTTCAATCTTTTCCGTCTGCATGGGTACGTAGAACCGACAAATAGTCTGTTCTCTGCGACGATTGCACCCGGAGGGGTGTCGCCGGACGCCTTTGTCCATGTTGGGACAGGCGATTTTATAAAATGAGCAACCATCCGGCCATTTTAGCCTCTGGTCTTGTTTGGGATCGGTTGTATAGCCACTAAACGTTTTTGTGCTTAGTTTTTAGTCAAAGTATTGAATTTACACTAAGTATCGAACTCAGTTTTTTAAGCAAACGAGTCTGTCTGGGTATGACCCAGACGGACAGGCAAATATCTGATCATACTAAGTATCAAACTTAGTTAGATAAATGGAGAATCCGTCTGAGTATTACCCAGGCGGATAGTCAAGCAGTTGAATAAACAAAGTATCAAACTTAAATAAACAAGAGATCCGAGTATTACCCAGGCGGTCTAACAAATGTAACCTTCACTAATTATCGAACTTAGTTAGGTAAATGGGGAATCCGCCTGGATATTACCCGGATGGATAATCAAACGATAACTCAATTTTGCAAACAAAGTCTGAATCTTCATTAATTGACTCACTGTTTACAAAAAGTTTACAATCTCAGAAGTAGTACTTTTTTAGATTGTCTACATTCCAAGTTCTAGGCAGACGCCTGCCATCTGGGGTTTCCAGGCGGTAGGTGCCATCCCTTACTTCTTCATAAATCCGGTAGGGGCCTTCCCAATTTGGAGTTAGCTTTCCCAGCTCATTGGCCCACCGGTTGCCTCCATTTTCCGTAACACTAAGTCGTCAAATTTCAAAGGACGCTTGTGTACCTTTTTGTTGTAGGCTCTAGTCATTCTCAGACGGTAAATCTCATGACGCAAGGCAGCGTTCCCCCTGCGTTCTGGGAGTGAATCCAATGTCAGGCGCATTGCTTCCCAGTTTGCCTCTTCATCATATAGCATGACTCCAAGAGTCGGCTCGTAATGCTCGATGGGCAAGACGGCTTCAGCACCGTAAACCATGAGAAACGGGGTTTCAGCGGTTGCCCCTTTCGCCGTTGTCCGGATGGCCCATAGGACATGGATTAATTCTTCTGCCCATAAGCCACCGGCTCTTTCTATTTTCTTTTTAATGCCGTCTGAGATGAGTTTGTTGAAGGCTTCAACTTGGCCATTTGGTTGGGGCCGGCCAACAGATGCAAAATAGCTTGAGATCCCCTGATCTCCCAACCAAGTTTTTAGCTGAGGCGTTTCAAACTGAGGACCATTATCAAACACCATAGACATAGGTACTCCATACCGGGTGATAGTGTTCTTCCAAATGAAGGAAATTACGTCTGAGGTCTTGATGTTTTTAACCGCCTCAGGCTCCACCCACTTGGTGAAATAATCCACAACCACCAAGATGTAACGCTTTCCGCCTGGAGCAGTCGTGTAAGGACCTAGAATGTCCATGCCCCATTTTGCAAACGGGATTGGGTTGTGGATGGTCGTCAGATCAGTAGCCGGACGGTGAATTAGTTTGCCAAACTTTTGGCACTTGTCACATTTCTGGTAAAACCTCCCTACTCAGCTACTCCCCCACCCCCCCTCCCTCCCTCCCCAATCAATCCTAAGGGGTCTTGGCTGCTAAGTCGACCTCAGTTGACATGTGAGAAGTTCCGATCATAAGGATATATGTTGTATGTGACCAACAATATCACCTTCTGAATGGTACTTGTCATTACCCTTAATGTAGAACAATTATTGACATAGAGTTTATCCAATTCCGTATACTTGGAGAGCATTCCAAAAGCTCTAAAGATGTGTAAGTCTTGACTGGCCACCATAATGGATCTAAATGATTAGCCAGTTGATCAGATTTGGTTTCTAGCAATGTACTATGACCATCTAAGATAGCTAAATGTAAAATATTTTTACTAAATTTAATCCTAATTAATTGGCATCTTGATCGACAGATAATTCCTTCACCCACTGCTTCAACATTAATTGTTACTAGCTTTGAACAGGTGAGCCAAATTATTCCTCTCCACAACCTAAATTATAACTTCATGATATAGTTCAATATTAACATTATTGAAAAACACAGACCAAAACACCCTATAATCTGCAATAACAAAACATACGTATTAAAAGTAGCCTTTATTATTCATATCGATAGGGTTATCAGTTTATCACACCTCATGGTGCTTACACTTCTCACCTGTTCTGGTAAAACCTCGTTTGAGAACTTAAGCCAACCAATCTAACTAGAATAGCCAACATGATGGTTTTGTTGTTGAACATAATGATAAAATGCATGATGCTCCAATAAAAAGAAGTTTTTAAGGCATCATAAATCCAGGCAAGCCTAGCTTCGCCTCCTTCCTCTGTAACCGCCTTCTCTTTGACAAGTGAAGTATGTTGCAGCCACAGGCGAGCCAAGATTGTAAACTTCAGCAAATTCTCTAGTAAAGAAATTCGGACGCCACCCTGGTGCACCGATTATTTGACTCCCTGAGTGACAAAATACAGCAAATACAAGTCGATGTATGCCTAACGACGGCCTTGGATTTTCGTATGCCACGATTTCTTGCCCTGTTTTACAACAACATATATAGTACATCAAAGTTGATACCTTAATACGAAGTAGTTAATAACTATATTAAGTTACTCATCTACTCTTAAGTTTAAGCAAAAATTGGAAATTGAGACCTTTTTATTTGATGCAAAGTACTTGTTTCGGTATAAAGAAAGCCACATCAATAGCAATCTAATATATAATTGTAGATTTTTTTTTTTGCAACTTTTATTCACAGCACTTTAATTCTTGAATGGAGCAATTCTAAGCATTCTATTTTTATTTTTTCTTTTATAACTTCTTCTCCAACTTCCACTATATTTTTTTGGAGGAAAATAACTACCTTATTTTTTTATTTTTTTTTGTCAATAACTTTTAATTCTCTAAATTTTAGATACAAAAATAAATAAATAATTTACTTTCACTTTTACTATTTTACAATATAATATATATCTCCACATATAATTCACTGTAGCACTCAAAATCCCCAACTTTACTTCTTTTTATTTAACTTTATTAATACCCGCGAAATCAACCTAAAAGAGTCGTTCTTTCGGGGACGGAGGAAGTATTTTTTATTTAAGTCAATTAAATTGCCTAAAACTATGTGTCGGTCAAACTGTAATACTTAAAAAAACACGGAGTATATATATATATATATATATGTATATATATATATTTATTTAAAACACATACTTTATAAAATAGATCATGTAAGAGTCGTTATATAACACATATTTATTGAAGAGTATGTTTTACATAAATATAATATGATTCCCTAACAAGACTCTTACATGTATTGGTTTTAAAAACATATGTTTCATTCAACATATTTAATTGATACAAGTTAAAAATAATTTAATTCATAAAAATTAAATTTTTTTTTTTCAATATTATATATTCATTTCTATATATAGACTTAGTATTTTTTTTGTTTTTAACTAACCACAACTTTGGCCTAATGATCGTATGTAATAGCTCCAACTACAAAATAACTAAATTAATTTAATAAATTAGCTACACAATAAATTTAATATGACATCATTTCACTCCCAACTTCTTATACATGATTTGTGACTACATGTAGGTAAAATTCTCGTCTTTTAACGAATTATACTATATTTGCATGTCCAAGTTTACATATATGGTATTATGGTGCTACCAAAATTAAGCATCTAGAATAGTAAGTACTTCAACACTAGACATGCCAACATAACAAATACCTCTTGTTAGGGTTCACGAAGTGAGCACATAGCATGCATTCACTAGTAGGATCACCATTTTAGATAGTCTCGGGCCGCCGCATGTGACATACTATTAAGATTAACAAATTAAATGTGATTACTTACCAATGCAAGTATTCTCTTTCGGATGGATTGCCGGGGCTTGGAGCATCAGGATCCACCATAACCTTCACATATTTTGATAAAATGCAATGAGATATGGTATGGATGACATAAACCTCAGGTATGTCGCATATTATACCAAGGTACAAAAAATAGCAATTGTTTTTTATATATATATAATAATACATATGAATTGGGAGTTGAACTTACCAAAGTATAGAATGACATAGGATCATTACCCTGAATTTCAATCATTGGTGGATTGACAACTTGAGAAGGTCTAAATTCACTAGCATTTATGACTTCTCTATTGTCATAGACAACTCTGAGAGTTACCGACCTTGTAAAGGGATCCAAAACATCCCCAATCACTTGTCCTACAACAAGTGAATCTCTTCCACTAGGCATAGTCGCATAGAGTTGTATTATATATGTACGTTTATAGGCAATTTAACAAAATTTGTACCTACACTTTTTTGTTTTTTTTTTTATTTTTTATTTTTATTGTTCACTTGTGTTCTACAGTTGGTATAGTAGTGAGTTCTATTTATAGGGTTTATAAAGATATCAAACTTATTCCCTCAATTCCTAAATAAATAATATTTCAGTATATGAGGAAGCTAAGGGGTGAATATATTACATATATCTCTATTATAAAAGCCAAATGTAGGAGAGGCTGATGTTGGCCACTTCAATTGTCAAATATGCTTTATTCATCTATCTATTACATATTACTAAAGACGAAACCATAAAGACACTTGGCAACATTGTTTTAAAAATTTTCCCTCCAATAACACTTGCTAAAAAAAAACCTCCAATAATCGTTGCTTTGAGAAAATTATTACTTTAAGAAAAGATTTTATCTCAATTATTACATTTGCTTTACATAAAATATAAACCAACTTTCTAAAATTCATTTTATATGTGGCTATAAAAAAAATGTTCAATACTTCGTATAATTTTACGTGTGACCTTACAAAAAATTCGTTTTAAATGACAATTGAACAACCGTGCATCTACAATCCCTTTTGCATGCACCCGGTGCACGTGCCACTCATTTACTAGTATAACATAAAAGGCTATAAAAAATTATGTAACAAATCAAAGTTTGGCATAAGTTACTTAATAGTTTTTTTTTTATTTTATTTTTTTTCACGGGAGGTTACTTAATGATTAGTTTCACAAGTTTAGTGGAAAATACTCCCGTAATTATTCTCTCTTATTTCGGTGCACTAACCCTTTCTTACCCTAAAAATATTTTTAAAATTAGTTTCACATAACTTCGAAAAAGTTGTAACATCATTTTCCTATAGAGCTAGGTATGTGATACATCTTGTGCATTGGCACATATGGATGCATCGTAGTATAGAAAGAAAAAAATTAGGAAAAGAAAGTAGGAAAATCTTCAATGAAACAAAAAGAGATTGTAGATTTGTAACCTTGTTTTTTTATACTTTATTTAATTCTATTTTTGGCATAATATCTTTACCAACATTGATCATACCCCATAATATCACATGCAGCTTTCCACAATAGATCTTTCTTCTATTTTATCTTACACTTCTCATTCACCTTTGTTTCTTAACTAGCTAAATTCTCATGCAATGCACGAGTTTTAATAAATTATAAAGCAAACTACTGCATTAATTTAGTAATTATATACTAAAAAAGAATCACATATACAAACTTAATTAAAAAGAAATTGAATTTCTTTATTTACCTATGTAGACATCAAGGTTTATTTATTTATTTATTATTTTTATTTATTTTACTTCTGACAATGATGTAAAGGCTACTGATGCGTTACAGTTCAAAAAATGTTAAAGAAAATAAAGTGATTATTGAATATTTAGAACCCATGCTATGTACACTATCATGTCCCTACTTTGTTGAGACAATTTGACATACACCACACATTGGTTTATGCAAACTTAATGTTATTTTATTTTCAATACATAGAATCAAATTTGTAAATATGAGTGAATAGTAGGTTTTAATAAATATTTAGAAGTATAATAATAATAATAATAATAATAATAATAATAATAATAATAAGCGAATTCGGAAGTTCTCGAAGACTCAGGACATTAAGGCACTATTGCAGCTCTATCTTCACTAGGATAGGATTTGCTATAGCTAGAGGAGTGGAGGCCCATATTGTATCTCGTATTCCCACTAATTTTTTGTAGGATGCATGACTTTGTAAATTTTTGAGATATAGTATTATAAATATTATTATTATTATTATTATTATTATTATTATTATTATTATTATTATATATAACGATAGTGATAACAATAATAATAATAATAATACCCTTAACATTTATGCTCATTTTTATAACAAAAATTACTTAATATAAAATATATACATATAAAAACATTCCATTTGAGTGTGTGTGTGTGTGTATATATATATATATATATATATATATATATATATATATATATACATATATATATATAATCTCCAAAATGGAAAGAGAATATTATAGGGCATAAATATCTTTCAAGAAGTATTGACAAAAAAAAAATGTAAGAAAAATTGAAGGGAAAATCTTCAACCAGTGAATGACATGTGTCGTCACTAATTTTGTTGTTAGTATTAAGTTTCTTATGATGATATAACCATATTATTTCTTGATTAATTTTGCTATTACTTATTAGAAAAGAATAATTTTTACTATTATAATGTAATTTAAAATGTGACCTTATTTGTTGATGTAAGTTATTATGTGGAAGTTGTATCTATAACTAAAACTTAAATTTTAAATATGATATCTCATTTGTCGGATATTAGAATAATATATTTAATTTTAAATGATATTATTTTTAAATATATATCCTAAGCCACTATTCGTAATATTACTTGGCACTTCAAATTACTCTCTCTAATCTCATTTATTACTTTTGTTTATGTGCTGATTGATTTTTTATTTTTTCAAACAAAGTGAATTTTTTTTTCATTGGTCAAAACATTACCTTTGTACATGTCATTTTATCTATTGGATATTAGGATAAAATTTTCAACTTTTTTTTAAATATAATTATTAATGAATTATTTAAATCCCAAATATTCTAAACATATTTGAGATAAAAAATTATTAAAAAAAACAGATTGATTGTCTCTAGGATTTATAATGTTATCTCTTTTGGAAATTACATATGATAAATACACAAAAAAAAAAAAAAAAAAAAAAAAAAAAAAAAAAAAACTCAAAATTCTAAATAATCACTCAATAACTCAATCACTATTGTACATCGCTAAAAAATAACCTAGGGTTATTTAAATAACCCACAAAATAGAAAATATTGACTTTATTTAAGGAAATAAAACTCAACACAAAATATCAAAAATCGACAAAAATTGGTGAAGTGGTGATGCACAAATGTGTCTCCCTTGGGCACGGACATCCCTAGTCAAATGTCAGATGAGGTACAGACGTGCCTTGCTAAAAGCTTTGAATCCTCGCTGAGGCACGGACGCGCCTAGTCAATCTTCAATAAACCTTCCTGGAGGCAAGGCATGGACGTTTCTTGTCCCACTTCTTCCTAGTTCCTGACTCCTGGCTCCCGATTCAAGGCTATCGATTCAGGGCACACTTAATCCTTACGAATCTCTACTTTAACTTCACTCCACTCCCCTCACAATAAAACTGATGTACCATATAAATACATTTATCACAATGCCATATGTTTCACAACAGACCGATGTACAAGACGCATCGAACATGACGCCAACTGTATTAGAAAACAGACAGATATAACCAAAAAATAAACCAAAAATATACTCTCCTTGCTCAAATTTGCACCCACTAGGCACCAGCTTTTTTCCGCTGAGCACCAGTCCAGATTTGCCCCGTTGGGCACTAGATTTTCCTTAAAGGGAAAATAACAACTTTGAATGTCCAAGCAACCTTGGTACTTACTCTGCGGAACCATAGTCGAATAGACGGCTTGCCAATGCTTCTTCCTAGCACAAGCAACACAACCCTAAGAAGGCTCAAACATATAGACCTCTTCAACAACAGATAGTGCAAAAGCCACCTTGTCTTTCTGACCGTGCCTTTGGGGAGAGTTCCCAAAGCTTACATGTCGACTAAGAGCCGAATTATGTGGCCCTAATTCGACGACAAAGACTGTCATGCTTCATATTGTGACTTAAATTGTGAGTGTTGACTGATCTTTCCCGGACATGGACCACCACCCTAACCTAGAGTGACTCTATGCTCACCTATTTGTCAACACTGCCATAAACAAGTGATGTGACAACACCAGACTCAGAACCAAATAACGTAGACCCTTGGCTTGCAACACATACAATGTCTCTCGTTTTACACCCACTACTAGTGAAAATAGGACAATACACCATGGTGCACCCAGAAGACGGAAAGAACATAATGTTATTTGATAAAGAGCATATTTAAATTATATTTGACAAAGAACATACCTATATATTTTTGATGATATGTTCTTTTATGCTATACAAAAAACATACCATAATATATATGTTGGTTCAATATGTTTTTTGGGTTTCAATAATACAAATTTTGTTATTTGAATTTGGCTTATATGTTCTGTTCTTTGAGGTGATGAGTGACACACAATTTCAATTTTATTTTTTTTTTACTTATCACATACTCCCTCAACTTTTTAATTCTTGCTCCATTTCTATTTTTTGCGCTATTTATTTGTCTTACTTTGACTAATCTTTGTGATCATAAGAAAAAATATATTCTTGTGGGTACTTATTGGAATCGTCTCAATGAATAGATTATTAATTTTCAATTTTTATAATATATATTTATCGATAATCAAAGATATTATTGATAAAAGATTAGCATCGGCATACTTGTCCAGGAGAAATAGAGCAAGTACTCAAAAACAGAGGGAGTATCATAATAATATTTTTTTATTTATTATCGTATGTTCTTTGAATTTTATCAGTGTGTTCTTTGGTTATGAATTATAGGTTCTTTTAACATATGTTATTTTTGAATTATATTAGGAAATGAAATCTAAAATTATTTTTAGTGATAATAATTTTAGAAAGAGAAAACTAAAATTATTATGGAAAATTGAATTTTTGGAGACAAACTTTTTTTGGGCAAATGATATCTTTGGTAAAGATTTTTTCCATTAATGTGTAATTTTTCATGAAATTCTAATAAAGTTTTTATCACGTTCTTTTTGTAATGTCTTTATGTTATTTAATAATGCATGTTCTTTTTCAAACACCTGAATGTTCTTTTTCAAACATCTAAATGTTCTTTCCACCCTTTTTTTTGTTTTAATTAACCGAGTGCAACATGCGCAAGGTGTACCCTGATGCACAGATTATGTATTACACTACAAGAAAAAAGCTGATTTCCAACAGGCAGGTTCTGACGGACATGTAATTAATTTGGTCAGAAAAATCAAAATTTCCAGCGCATTTATATTTCGTTAGATATATCCAACAAATTCAAACAATCCGTCGAAAATCCAACGGAATATAAATCTGTCGGAATATATGTAGAATATTCCGTCGTAAATTAAAATTTTTGACGGATGTAATTTACGTTGGAAATTTTCGTTAGAATACACGTTAAAAAAAATACTATAAACTACTCATGAACCTTAATCATGTTCCGCCTCTTTCTCTCCCTAGTCTTCTCTTCCCTCTTTCTCTCTCCTCGTTCTCTCCCCTCCTGTTCTCTTTCTCCTCCTTTTCTCCTTCTCATTCTCTCTTCTTTAATTCTCATCTCCCTCCTTCTCTCTTTCTTCTCTGTTCTCTTCTTGATCTTTTCTCAACTCTTTCTTCTCTCCTTTTCAGCAACAACCACCACCAACGAACATGAATCGCAACAACAATAGCAATGTAACAACAACCACCACCAAAATCAACCGCAACTACAACAACGGCGCAACTATCGCAATATCAACAGCCACCGTCGCGAGCCACCAATTGTCAAGGTTTTTTATTTTATAGATCTGATCTTGCTGTAATTTAGGTTAGATTATAGATCTAGTTAATTTTTTATGTAATTATAATGTTAGTTTATAAATTTTATTAGATAATTGTATATTTCCTTTAATTTTTTTTTGGTTAATTATTGTTTTCTGTGTTTTTTTTAAATGAAAATCTGATTAAATATGTAGATCTAATTTTTAATTTTTTTATGTGTATTTTTCGATTAATTTTTTTTTCTAATTTTTGGTTTTTTCGGTTATATTTTGAGTTTTTTTGGTTTATTTTCAGGTTTTTTGGGTTAACTTTCATTTACTGTTTGGGCCGATTTCTGGAATTTTTGTGATGTGATGTGAGGTGGGGTCAGTGATGGTATATGGTGGTGGGGTAGGGGCTGCTGTGAGTGTGGTGGTGGGTGGGTTGGTGGTTAGAGTTGGTGTGCAGTGGGGTTTGGTGCAATACCTCGTATTTTTGAAACATATTTTCTAAGTAATT